CTTTTCTTTTGGGCATCGATTCGCCATAAACGATTGCATTATATTATTCAAAACGAATTAGAGGTCTACTCTCAAAATCAAGGGTCAAACGTCCATACCGAAAATTAGCTCTTATTAATGCATGGCTGAAACGAAAAACATTATGTGATGCATGAATGTCACAGAATATGAAAAATTTATAACACACAGGGAATGGGAGTTGGGAAATGCATGCCTTCCAACATGCATGCCTTCCAACCTTATTTCTCCCACACTCGGATTCCATTGGTATAAATTCCGACATCTGTTTCTTAGGATTTGGTCTAATCTCGATAACCAACAGGGGGTTTTTGAGATTGACGAAATAAACTCTCGGAAATGAATGCGACATATCAACAGCAAATAGAATCGGGTGCACCTTAGGGGAAGTAACTAAGGCTTTGGACTATATGCATTGGCTTCAGCCTTATTGGGCTTAACAAAGTCTGGGTTCCGCAAACAGGATTCGGGCTTTGTTGGGCCTACTCCTTTTGACGCACCTTTTAAGGTACTAGGCTTGCAGTTGGTAAAATTGCTAGTTCTCGGATAGATGTGCTTAAAACGCATGGTTTAAGCTGGATCTATCTTCGAAGTTAACAACAGTACCGAGGGATAATTTTGGGTAGAAAGTGGTGAGAAGAAAGGAATGCAGCATGGATGCAACAACTTAGAAAATAAAGGAAGGCAAATAAACAAACTAGGACGATTAAAGAATTTTCCAACGGCTTTCTAACCAATTTTATTTCCAATTTTAGAAAACATAGATTTTTAGAGTTAATTCCTAATCACAACCAACTAATTATTAAAAATAATCGGGGACTGGTGGTTGTATCCCCAGTGAAGTCGCCAATCTGTTTTCGTCGAAAATCCCCCCGGAGGACCCAAAAACATTCTTTTGATTTTTGGATCAAATGTATGGTTTTAATACGGTGCTGATAAATCGGTCTTATAAACAATTTTGAGTCGCCACCCATTATTTAGGCAATGGGACCGTTTTTTAAAAATGACTCTATTTTAAACCCAATTTTTTGTTTAAACCCAATTTTGTTTTACGGCGCAAATTATTTTAAAAAGACTAGGTCATAGGCCGCACCAATGCGATTCTGGTAAGGGAATTTGGATACGCCGGCCCGTTGGAAGCCGACGGCCGCGGAAAACCGGCCTCGGTTATTAACCTATAATTTCTGAGTTATTTTAGTAGAAAAGCCAAATTATTTTATTTATTTAAACCCACCCAAATAATCGGACCGAGTTCCTATATGGAAAATTATTTAATCATCCCAATCAAATCTAATTATCACATAACAATTATTCAAGTCAAAGCAATTAAACCAAACCAATTAAACCAAATAAATAAAAGACCTGCTCTTGCCTTATGGTTCAAGGCAGGCGACAAACCGAGTCAAAAATATTAAATAAAATAAATAAATGACTCTCTCTTGCCTTATGGTTCAAGGCGGGTAACAAACCGGATTCAAAAATATATAAATTGATTCAGAATTAAATCCGTAAACCAATAAAAATAAAATCATGCATAATTATTATTTAATACCAAAAATATTATTAATGAACAGCAAATTAATCTTAAACATAAATAAATCAACAAATTTAAATCCTAAACATTATAATTAATTTCTTTTGTCTAAAATATGCCAGAATTAATTAAATTACATCTACAATTTAATTTCATTTTTTTTATTTGAACATAAAATTGTAAAATTCATAATATAAATACATATAAATTACATTTTTAGTATTTTAAGTTTAATTTAAACTGTGATCTGTTCATATTTGGGCATCCTCAGATTTATTAAAAACAGGTTTTATTTTTGTGCAAAATTATATATTTTTTTAATTATTATTTCTGGAAAAATCTGGATGACAGTACATGTTCATCGATGAATAGTTACTGTCATATGAATTTATCTGGAAACTGCCCTGGTCCGTAACTACCTTTCAAATAATCTTTTTTACGTTTTCCTTTTATCAAAACTTGTTTTAATATAACTCAGAAACATCCAATAATGGGTAGGGTGGCATTTAATCAATATCACATTACTAAAACATCAACAAAATAAATAATAATGAATTTAATAACTAAAAATACCGAGGAAGGTTTTAGATAATTACCTAACCCTTAGATTGAGGATTATAAACAATCTGAATGTCTTAAGGAACAAGATTTCAAAGTGCCAGAAGTCTTTGTACCCCAAATTTTAACAAAAATCTCTTTCTCTCTTTCTTTTCTCTCTTTTTTCTCTTTTTTGTATGATTTTCGTTTTCAAACTAATTAATCTCTAAGGCTGTTTTTCTTCACAATTTTCCTTTTTTCTCTCTTTTTATGGTTTGATTCACATAAAATTGATATCTAATGCCAATTTCTCTTCAAATCAACTCATAAGAATTTTTTGGAGAGAAATATGACACCACAGTATATTTTTTTAGGGTTTTTGCCATTTTTGGAGTTGTGAAGTTGTGTGAAAATTGTGAGAAAGAGATGTATTTATAGAGCTAGCTAGGTCAGGACACTGTAGCTGTGCTACTGTAGCACGCAACTCTCTCCCTCTCTCTCTTTTTTTTAAATCTTCTAGATAACATTAACCCATTCATTCTTGTGTCCTCATCGGATCAAGTGGGGCATAAAAAACACACGTCAACAAGTAGTATTTTCAAAAAATTTTCTAAGTCATATTTTGGAGACTCTTAAATCATTATGGATGTTAAGATATAATATTAAAGGAAGATTTTAGTCTAAAATTTATATAGTGGCTCTGTGACGCTTATTATCTAGTCTTATGAGACTCGACAACGGGTGTTGCAATAATAATATAAAAGTGAGACCTACCAAACCAACTTGTTAAAAAAACCCAAATTTTCTTTTATAGCTCCATCGATCTACTTCTCTGTCTTCTACCCTCAACAATCTCCTTAGAATCAAATTAAGGTTTCCTCTTCCTCATTCCCCTTCTCTATTTGATATTGTCATTTCTCTTGAACTCACCGCACAGTAGCAACAAATGAGCTTGTGAGTTGTACAACAGTAGACCAGAACAACTCTTTTTTTTGAAAATAATTAGGTTTTCCCTTTCTCTATTTGAGCTTTGATATTGTCGTCTCTTCCAACTCAGATGTGTGTTTTTACCTACTTGATCGTTTTTTCTTTCTCTCTTTCTCTGTATCCATGACTCATTGCTAATAGTTTTTTTTCCATAGTCATGCAAGATTGCATCCTCTACATGTCGTTCTCTCTTGTTTGATAATATATTTTTAGTTCTGTTTTCTCTTTTATTTAACGTATAATTATTTTATTATCTATTGTATTAAATGAAGAATATTGTTTCTGAATATAATGATTGGTGTTTTATATTTGGGTATTTTGTGGTTTTTATTAATGGAATTATCAGTTGGATCATTTTTTTTGTTGTTTTGCCTTTACTGGTACTCAATGGAGATGCAAAAAAAAAATTAATGATTTTGTTTTTGAAGATTAAAACGTTGTGCTTCATAAATTTTAGGAACTTGGGTTAAGTTATTGTTAGGAGCTTGGTTAAGTTAACTAAAGTTGGTTTAGTGGGTTTCACTTTTATATTATTATATTGTTTACCCTAGCTGCATTTTAATCTGAAGTGCCAATATATCTAAATTTTAAAATTGGGATGCTAAAGGAATAAAAGTAATTTTAGGGTGATACTACAATAATACATAAAGTTCAGTGTATTTTTATAGGTTAAGCCAGCTTTTTAATAGATATTTGAAATTATCAAACTATTAAAACTTGAGGCATTAGTAATCTATTAGTAGAATGTATTAGCGAAAAAAATAAATCTATTAGCAAAATGTGATAATATGATTGTAGTTAAGATGATTAATGGAGATTTTCTTATAACTAATGGTTTGAAGCCAATTATTATTTCCATTAATCATAAGAATATAAGGAATTTGAAGTGTAAGATTTCCCATTTTTATCGTAAAGGCGATTATTATGTAGATCAACTAGCAAGCTATGTTGAATCAACCTCCCTACGCTTGCATGTTCTTGAAGATTGTTCTCCTAGTCTTTATCAATTGCTCATCCATAATGGTAGTGGGATAGTTTATTAATGCTCCGTCTGTTTCGTAAAATAACTTCCTGAAAAATATTTTTTAAATGATTTATTTTTCATTGTTTGGTTGTAATATTGAAAATTAATTGAAAATATTAAAGTCTTTATCTCGTAAGACCATAATGAAAAATATTTTTTAAATGATTTATTTTTCATTGTTTGGTTGTAATATTGAAAATTAATTGAAAATATTAAAGTCTTTATCTCGTAAGACCATAAAAATATTAATAATAACAGAAATTATATAATTTACAAATTTTATTGTTAAATATGAGAATAATGCAAAAGAAAAAAAATGTAAATTATAAAAGCCGCCAGTGGTGGTGATGGTTGGTGGTAAATGGTGACTGGTGGTAGTCACTACGATCATTAATAAATTAAAAAAATATGAATTTATAAGGTTTATCAATGCCGAAAAATGTTTTACTCTCCCGAAAATGGAAAGTTATTTTTCTTAAAAAATGAGTTAATTTTCTTTTGACTAGGAAAATATTTTCTATCGACATATTTTCCTAAACCCCGAAATAACCAAAAAATTATGAAAAAATATTTTTCTGTAAGTTATTTTATGAAAACAAATGGAGCCTAAATGTTTAATATATAGTTTGTTTTTCCTCCTTTATTTACCCCAGAAAAAAAAAAAAAAAATACCCAAAAAAAAAAAAAAAAAATACAAGTACATCATAGGTCAAGCTTTAACTACATGGTACACAAGGCCTTTTTCTTTTTCCTAGAGTTGGAAACAAGAACTACAGGGATGGGCCTAATATTGGTCGAGGGCCTTGGATATCACACAAAATAGGGAGCGAAAAGAATATCCGAATATAGAAGAACAGAAAGCCAAGCCAAGCGAGCATTGAGCTATATGGACTGCTCACTACTCTTCTATAAACACCATACAAACGAGCAAATGGCGCGTGTTCAGTTTAACCCGTTAGCTACTTCAAAGGGCAACCATTGTATTCAGCTCCATCACTGACTTTTTCACATCATTACTCGCTATGGCGATTGTTTCTATTCCATTCTCTTGTCCCTCTACTCTTCCTCTCCAGCGAGTCAACCTGTGAGTTTTCTGAATTTCTTTCTTCCAATCTCCTCCTCATTTCTCTTCGATACCCATTTTCAATTTCTTGGAAATTGAGTCGCCTTTCCTTGCTTTTTTTTTTTTTTTTTTTTAAATTGAGGTTCGCCCTTTCTTCGCTTTTTTTTTTTTTTTTTTAAATCAATTAGCTTAATCTTTAATTTTGGGTCGAATTCTGCAAAATTTTTTATTTCCTGTTAGTGGGTTTTGTTTTGCAAATCTAAAAAACATATCTCTTTTTTGCTAATTTTTTGTGAAAATTTAGAAGGCGATATAGTTCCCACTCAGGCATGGCATTTGCACGTGTGGAACAGAGAAACTGGGGACTTTTTTTTTTTTTTTTTTTTTAAATCAATTAGCTTAATCTTTTATTTTGTCGATTCTGCAATTTATTTCTGTTAGTGGGTTGTTTTGCAAATCTAAAAACATATCTCTTTTGCTAATTTTTGTGAAATTTAGGCGATATAGTCACTCAGGCATGGCATTTGCAAGTGTGAACAGAGAAACTGGGACTGTAGGTGTAAGAATCACTGAAGGCGAAGGTAACTTACCAAAGGTTGTGCTTACTTCTCCTCATGGTAGGTAAGCATATATGATACATCTTAACTTCTTGACAATAGTGGCATTGTTTTCGTTATTAAAATTTTTTTCTCATTTTCATTTGGATTTCAAATAGTGAGGCAGAGATATATTTGTTTGGAGGTTGCATCACATCTTGGAAAGTTCCCAATGGGAAGGACCTGCTTTTTGTTAGGCCAGATGCTGTATTTAACAAGAAAAAGCCAATCAGGTTCTTCAACTATTTTTATTCATGTCTTTTAGATTTCGGGGACTCATTATCTTCCTATGTATTACACTGATTATTTCTCTATTGCGATAGTGGAGGCATTCCACATTGTTTCCCACAGTTTGGACCTGGTGTTATTCAGCAGGTATAAATTCCTTTCTCATTGTTCTACTTCTGATTTTTGGCATCCCTATTTCTTTCTCTTGTCCAATTAATGTGCTTCCTTTGTTATGACGGCTGCCTCGCAATGAGTTCATTGCTGCTACTCAGTCACGATAAAGATGGATTTTTGTGTTTGGATTGAATTGTGATCAATTTTTGTAGTATTACATACTTCGCTATCGCACTAAATCTTAATATATGTTAGTTTTCTTTTTATCATTTTGCTAAACTTTGGATCAAATATGCATTTAACAGCATGGGTTTGCAAGGAATATGGATTGGTCTGTTGTTGATTCTGAAAATGTGGAGGGCAATCCTGTTGTAACTCTTATGCTCAAGGATGGCCCTTACAGCCGCCCGATGTGGGACTTTGGTTTCCAGGCTTTATACAAGGTAGTTGGTCATTTTATATATTGAATTACTACACAGCTTAGCTATAAATTATAATGACCTTATTATCTGTTTTATTTCGGTCTTTAACAAGCTTGCATTTCTGATTTCATTGGATTATTTTAAGCTTCTATCGCTCGTCTAGTTTATAGTTCTCTCAAATATTTTCAGGTCATTCTCAATGCAAAGAGCATTTCTACAGAACTAAAGATTACAAATACAGACAGCAAGCCATTTTCATTTACTACTGCTCTACATGCATATTTCCGTGTAAGTCTCATTATCCATGCTAGAAAACCACTTTTTCTGGTGCTTTGACCAAGGTATGATTTGATTTTCATGCGTAAACATGGATAAATAAATTCCTATTGGTTACAAAAGCATATGCAGGATTCAATAATTTTTTTCCATGAAAATTTTGATGGCTTCAGAAATAAGTGATACATATTCAAAAATTGAAAGTTGATATAAGACGTCTTGGTGCAGGCTTCTGTAACTGATGCATCTGTGAAAGGTTTGAAAGGTTGCAAAACTCTCAATAAGGATCCAGATCCTACCAATCCAATAGAGGGCAAGGAGGAAAGGTTAGAAATATACATACATGGAAGAATCACACCAATATTTTGGTTTCTCCTTCGAAACTGTGGGCCAGGAATAAAAGAATAGAAAAAATTTTGGATTAGAGTTGATTTATTAGGTCTTGGCTGAGGACTCTCTTCCCAGCATTGATGGTGATTTTCAGTTAACCTGAAAATATTCATACTGTTTTTATTTATTTTGGTGAGCATAAACGGATGAACTTTTTTACTCAATCTATATCAACGCTACTTTCTGCATCAAAGGATTTTTTTCTTAGGTTCACAACATATCATCTAATTTATTTGAAACTAGAAAATGGAAAAGACGATCAAAGTTCTTCAAATGCATGCTGAGGCAACAAAAGTTGAAAACTCGATCATTTTTGAAAGGTACTCTGCACTTATTAGCTGTTATGTAAATTAATCAGGGATGCTGTCACTTTCCCTGGATTTGTAGACTGCATTTACCTTGAAGCCCCTGATGAGGTCCACCTTGATAATGGCTTGGGTGATGTGATAACCATCAAGAGTAAAAAGTAAGTGATTGGGTCATTGTTTCGTGTTTTATTTTCTTTTCCCAAAATATCTGTTATTTACATTTGTGGCTCTCCATCCTTTTTTCACCTGATGCAGCTGGTCAGATGCTGTACTTTGGAATCCACATTTGCAGATGGAAGCATGTTATAAAGATTTTGTTTGTGTTGAAAATGCCAAGGTATTTAGACATTCACTTTCTTCTAAGTTACTTCCAAAGCTTCATGTTAACGCGGATTGTCTTCTTGAGTCCTCACAGTGGGCAAGCTAATGATATAGTTTAATGACTAAACTGCATACAAAGTGATTCTGTGATCATACATAATAGTTTGAGCAAAATTTTTTTCTTAGCTGGCAAAAATGTGGTTTTCTGATTGAACATAATCATAAATTTGCTTTCTTATATACACAAGATGGTTATGTTTCTATGTGTGGTTGACACAGATTGGGAATGTCAAGCTAGAGCCTCAACAGTCCTGGACAGCTAACCAGCATCTTAGCGCTGTCTGAAACGTTGTTGTGTACTATTTGCCTGGTCACTAGAATAAAACCATCCTTTTTATACTTTCTATTTGTTTCTGCTTCCACTTTTGCAGAGCCTTTTATCAATAACTCACAGGATGGTTTAATTTTCTTTATAATGACATTTCAAGTTTATGTTGAGATGACAATTCTATACATATATTTACTCTCAGCAGAATTTGGTTGCTATCATCATAGTGCCATACTCTCTATTCACCAGTAATCACCACAGGTACATTTCCCATCACTAAAAACGTGGAAACGAGTTCTATCCCTCATGACAATCTTTCGAACATAAATCTTGGAAATAAGTTTCATTACCATATGGCAGTCCTCACACACTGTAAGATTCTTAACAATCCGGATTGTTGCTCTTGGTTTTGACCGGATTAGTCCAAATGCAATAGCTAGCTTCTCACTGTGCTGATTTATGGCAATTTCTTTCTCCTCATCCTCAAGGTCATGTAATAAATTTTGTATTGCAGGTTTATATCCTTCTTGTCCTAGTCGCTCAGCGATCTTGTACCACATGTGATAAATCTCTTCCATTTGAGGATGGGACCCATCCCCAGCCAAAAATCCATGGACAGTACCATCTAGACTGATTGTGCTGCACCCTGGAAGTTTGGACACTCCATGTTCTTTCATTTGCGCTCTTGCCTCAGCTGCTACATCCCATTCCCCTGCAGCAGCATGAATGTTGGCTAAGTGAATGTACCGGCCACCATGATCTGGATCCTCTTCAATTAGGATTTTGCCTATCTGTTTACCTAGCTCTATATTTCCATGAATATGACAGGCGTTTAGAAGTGCACCCCAGATGACAGGATTTGGTTTTACTGGCATTCTCTCAATCAGATCCTTTGCTTCCTTCAGCAATCCAGCTCGACCTAATAGATCGACCATGCATCCATAGTGCTCTATTGTTGGTTTCAAACTATAAACTTTCTCCATGCTCTGAAATAGTGATTTCCCGTCTTCAACTAGTCCTGCATAACTGCATGCAGTTAAAATTGCGGTAAAAGTTATCAGGTTTGGCTTAATTCCTGCCTTCAGCATTTGCTTAAACCAGTAAAGAGCATCTTGTCCATGCCCATGAATTGCAAAACCATAAATTATTGCAGTCCAAACATAGACATTTTTGTTCCCTATTTTCTTAAAAACTCCTAGAGCTTCTTCCATACCACCGCACTTTGCATACATGTCTATTAGAACACTACCTAAAATCTGGTCTATCTGGATTTCATTCTTTTTTATGTATGCATGAATCCATCTTCCTTGATCCAATGCCCCAAGATGTGCACATGCTGAAAGTACACTTGCTAGCTCTACTCTATCAGGTTTGATGCCTGCACTTTGCATTTCTTGAAATACTTTCAGTGCCTCTTGGTGAAGTCCTGCCTGGACATAACCAGAAATCATTGCTGTATATGAAATGGCATTTCTTGTTGGCATGTCTTGGAAAAGTTCATAGGCTGTTTCAGTATCGTTGCATTTCATATACCCATGAATCATTGAGTTCCAAGAGACAACATCTGGTTGTGAGATTCGATCAAAGAGGACTTGCGCAGATTTTATGGAGCCAGATGCAGCGTATGCATGAAGAAGGGAATTTGTAGAATAAATATCTGAACCAAATCCAAGTTTTATGATGTAAGCATGAATTTGTTGGATCTCTTCCAAGGCTGACAGACGAGAACACGCTTTGAGCAGGAATGGAAAGGTGTAAACATTGTGTGGAATGGAATGACAGAGCATTTGATAATACAGAATCAAAGCATGCTCCGATTTATTGCTGTTAGCATAGCCTCGGATCATAGCATTCCACATGAAAGTGTTGGGTCTGCTGATTCTGTCGAAAACCGTACGTGCATAGGATATGTTCCCTGAATTTGAGGAGCTAACAAAAGCTACTAGCTTGCTTACTGTGATTGTCTCTAGTACAAGGCCTGTTTTGAACATATGAGCATGAATTTGCTTTAATTCCTCCATGTTTGAACATCTTTCAAGCAGAGATAGGGTCTGCGACATGCTTGAGTATGTTGTGGGAAGGGATGCCATCCAATTGCTTACCTAATTTAGGGAGGGAGTTGTTGAAATGTTTCCAATCTTGACTTTGAATAGTCAAGCTATTGCCTCTGTGGCTTTAGATTATTTATTTATTTATTTATTTTGGGATAAGGTTCTTGATCTGTCATACACCACCCAAATGTAGATTTGATAAATTTTTTACTGGTCCCCATTCTCATTCTCTTTCTCTTTCTCCATGTCAATTCTGTATTTCTTAAATAAATTTAACAAGAATTGTTATTTTGTCTATTGCCCTCTCATATGTCATAAGTCCCTTCATGAACAGGGTTCAAACTTAAATTTTCTATGTAGCTTTCAAGCCAGCCTTTTGGGCTAAATCAATCACTGCTAACAAACCCAAATAACAATATGAAATCCGATTTACCATGGAAGAATAGAAAGAAAGAAAGAAAAAAAAAAGGGTTTCAGTTCTCAAGAAACAAACATTGAAACAATACAAACCAAAAGTACAATCAAAATCACAACCCAAACCCAATAAACCCATGGCTTAGTCTTCTGCCTCATCTGATTAGCATAGTACAGACTGTTAGTCCCTCCACTAATAAAACTACCTGCATTAACCACATTTTCTTCAATATCATCAATTTTCTCTCCTTGTGTTTCAACAATAACAGCCATATCAAGAAAAACCTGATGCAACTTTGTCAAACTTCTTTGCAACTCCATAACAGCCTCGTGCCTTTCTTTAAACATTTCACCTCCAAAAACCATATTTTCGATGACTTCCTCGCTGGCTTCCTCTCCGGTTTCTGCATAATACTTTCTTCTAATATCATCTTTATAATCTGATAAAATCTTCTCTCTTAGAAACTGAAACTGATTTAACATCTCTGTCAGTTTGACCTTCAAGCCATTAGTGACTGTCATTCTTGTTCTATAAACAGAACTACCTTCTTTATACAAATCCTTGGATTTATCAAGAGATTCTAATCTCGATTTAACAACCTTTGCCTTTTTGAGAACTGAAAGAATATCTGACTCCATTCTGTCTCTTAAGCCACGAAGAATCATGTTACTGTGAGTGGATTTGGCTTCTTGATCAAGATTTTGAAGATCGAATAAAGAGATAAGTGATCTCTTCCATTTCTATTTTGATTGCACTAACTTCTTGGAAGAACAGAGAGAGGTTTGGTTCATCTGAAGAATTGGGGCAACCTGATTCCATATTGATTTCGGATCGAAAATCGTCTTTTTGGGCTTCTTTTTTCAATTCCACGTAACTTAAGAAGGACTTTGTCATTAGATCGTTCATCTTTTGCAAGATCGCAATAACCCAACTGCAAAAAGGAGGAGAGATGTCAAGAACAGAGATAAAACCCTGAAGAAATTCGAAGAACCTTTAAGGGGATTCAAGGTTCTTGAGATTATTGAGTTTTCACAAATGCTTGAGTACCACTATAGTTGAATACTGCAGAACCATGACATGATCATCTTTGACATTTGGCTTTTGGAGGGAAGAAAACCAGAAGCCAAAAGAAACCAGTAAAGGAGTTTTAAATTGTGAAGAAACCTTTAAAAAGTTACATTAACATAAAGAAAGAGAAGTGGTATTTTGTTAAAAACCTTGAAGAAACTGATGACTCTGTTCTCACTTACTCTTCTGATGCTTGAGGTTTTGCTTTCGGAATATGAAAGTTGAAAAAGAGAGAGTGGGTATGTGTGGCTTTTTGATTTTCAGAGAACTTGAAATTGGTTTTGGGTTTTAAAGCTACAGTGAGGAATAGAAGGCGATGGTTCAGTTTTTAAAATAATTCAGTTAACGTATATTTATTCATATAAAGAGTTCTGAAATATTTCAAAATTTAGTTGTAGAGAGATGATAGCCGTTGCATTATGAAGCCGCTGCAATTCCGCCAAAATTGGTCGGTGAGGTGCTGCATTGACACGGTGTCGTTTTTTTACGTGGAACTGGAAAGGTTGATTAAAACAAGGTGGCATTTTGCCGCTAAGCAAACGCCATCGTTTTGCTAACTGGCAATAGAGATTTTTCTTTTTGAAATTTATTTTTCGGAACTAGGAAATGGATTAATGAATGGACGGTGAATGCTCGTATTGGTCAAGATTTCATATTTGTTACATTTCCATAAAGAGATGACTTCAAGTTACAACCAGAATTGACACAGCATAGCGTACACTGGAGGTGTGCAAATCATCCCACGGAAGCAAATCAAAAATTCAATCGGTCCATTTCGGATCGATTCGATCTGTCACTCAAAGAGGAATTTTGTTATTCCGTTTACTCGGTCTGGACTAAATTATTATTTAGGTCAGCTCTGTTGTGCAGGAATTAATTGTTTAGACTTGGAGCTTAATCGATAAGGTAAAAACTAATAAATATAAAAATGAAGAATGAATATTGTATATGTTATTCCCAGTAAACAAGCGTTTAAATATAAAGAGAATAAACTGAATTCCTTAGCAATAGGAATCAGTAACAAACTAATCCTATCATAACAACTCAATCTCAACATAATCAAAAACAAATAATACAAAGTCAAAATTGTTTAAAGACTTGGGGAGCTTAAATCGATAAGGTAAAAACTAATAAAATATAAAAAATGAAGAAATGAAACTGTCTATGTTATTCCCAGTAAACAAGCGTTTAAATATAAAGAGAATAAACTGAATTCGCTTAGCAATTAGGATCAGTAACAAACTAATCCTATATACAACTTCAATCTCAAACATACATCAAAAACAAATAATACAAAGTCAAAGATTATGGAGAGGTAGACAGATATAACTGCCTAATAGCCCCCTCCAGTTAAACAGAAAGGACAATGTTTAACGTTGTTCAGAATGACGACAACGCAGCGGATGACAAAGGGCTTAGTCAAAGTAATTGGCTACTTGACTGCAGAATGGGACATGGTGAAACAGTAAGCAGTTTCCGCGATGAACTTGATCACGAACATAATGAAAATCCACTGCTAAATGCTTCATACGACTGTGAAACACAGGATTCTCACATAAATAAGTGACTCCTATGTTATCACAATAAATAACAGGTGCCGTAGAAAGTGTGATGCCCATTTCAAACAGGAGATTGCAAACCCAAGTTGTTTCAGATACAACACTCGCAACAGCACGATACTCAGCCTCCGTGGAGGACCACGCAATTGTTGTTTGCTTTTAAGAAGACCAACTGATCGGATTATTGCCAAAGAATTGAATGTAGCCAGTGGTTGACCAGTGGTTGAGACACGATCATTAATATCGCCGGCCCAATCTGCGTCAGAATACATGTGAAGTGACAGAGATTTGCTTTTCTTCAGACAAAGGCCATAGCGAAGAGTACCATTAAGATATCTTAGAACCCGTTTGACAGCTTTCCAATGAATAGTAGATGGAGCATGCATGAACTGGGAAAGCTTGTTCACTGCAAAGCAAATATCGGGACGGGTAAAACTAAGATATTGAAGTTTACTAACAACTTGTCGATATTTAGTGGCATCAACAGGCAAGGAACCATCAGAAACTAAAAGAACTGCAGAGGAGCTCATAGGAGTAGCAGCTGGTTTGGATTCCTGCATGTTGGTTATGTGAAGTAGGTTAGCAATATAAGTTGCTTGAGACAAGTAGAGACAATCTTGCTGCCGCAACACTTCCACACCAAGGAAATACTGCAAATTACCCAGATCTTTAATAGAAAAATGACTCGCAACGGAATCAATTGTACTCTGAATGCCAGAAACTGAACTTCCTGTAACAATGAGATCATCGACATATACAAGTACAAAAATAACAGCAGAAGCCGTACGGCTTATAAATAGAGAACAATCCGATTCAGATTTGGCAAAACCCAAGGAGATACCCAAGGAGATAAGCATGATTTTTAAGAGCAAGTATAGCCACGCACAGGAGCCTGCTATTAGCCCATAAAGTCACGCACAAGGAGCCTGCTTTAGCCCATAAGTAGCTTTGCGAAGCAAACAAATGTGAGAGGGAAACTTAGAATTCTCAAAACCCAGAGGTTGTGTCATGTAGACTTCCTCATCAAGATTGCCTTGAAGAAAGGCATTATTGACATCTAATTGACGCAAAGGCCAGTTATATTGAATTGCAAGAGACCACCAATCTGACAGTGGTTGGCTTGACCACAAGACTGAACGTCGAATGATAATCGATGCCTGGGCGTTGCGTGAACCCTTTGGCAACTAACCGTGCTTTAAACCTGTCAACAGAACCATCAGATTTTCGTTTAATCCTATATAACCATTTGCAAGCAATATTCTTAGAGGGATCATATGGAACAAGTTCCCAAGTTTTATTTTTCATTAATGCATCATACTCTACTTGCATAGTTGTCCGCCATTCTGGGTTTTTGTTGGCTTGGGCAAAGGTAATGGGTGGGGGAGCAGGTAAAACTTGTGCCATGTAGTCAAAGATTTTCTTGGGTTTGTAAATTTGATTTTGGGAACGTGTAACAACACGAGAGGGAGGAGGTGGTGGTATTGCTGCAGGTAAATTTAAAGAGATGGGAGCAGGGATAGGTTGAGAGGATGGTTCACGAGTAGGTATGGGTGAAGGTATAGGTGGAGATGGGTCAGGTGTATGTATGAGTGGAGATACCAGTGGAGATGGTGTTGTCACAGTAGCTATTGTGGCACAATCGGAGTTCCCAGAGTCACAAGTGGGCACAATTTCAGAGTTTTGGGTGTTGGAAGTCACAGAGGAAGGAAGCACGGGTATAGGACAAGGTAAAGGTTGAGTGGAAACGAGATTAACGGAAGAGGATTCCTGATGTAAGGTGGGAGAGTGAGATTGGGTTAAGTCAAACCAATTGAGAGACTGATTAGATTTAGAAGTGGAGCCAATAGAGAACATGGACTTGTATGGGAAACTATGTACAATAAACTGGACATCACGAGACAAATAAATTTTTGAATTGAGAGGATCAAAACATTGATGACAATAATGGGACAGCGAAAAACCTAAGTAAACACATGGTGTATGTAACGTCCCATTTTCCTATTGAATCGAGTCGTTGCTTAGAGTCGAGTCGGGCTGATCCAAAACCCGGTTCGAGCCATTAGAGTCCAGAGAACGTTCGGAGCCATTAGAGTCCAGGAGTGGGGTAGAATGGAATGTGAACTAAAATAAGAAAAGAGTGGGACTTAACTTGAGAGGAACAAAAAGATCAAAGTATAAGGATTAGGAACTTACTTGCACTAAAATATAAAGCTTAGGTATTAAGTGTACCATATTGGACACTTGAAGGTACCTTTGGTAATTTTCACATAAAAATCATTGATATTCTAGAGCTAGTCGATGTTCCATTCATTTTCATTCTTCATCCTTATCTTCAATCTTCTTCCTCTACTTTACCTCTTCCCACCACCTTCCTTTCTCCATCACTTTTAATGGTAGTGAAGATTTTAATGGGAGTTAAGCATTCCATTCAACTTCTATTCTATCCAAGAGAGGTGAGCTCCAAGGTAGAAGAAAAAGGAAGCTAAAAAGAAAAGCCCAAGCTTTTTGGAGTGAAGGTGTGCTATCTCTTTAGTTTAATTAATTTCCTTGCATGAGAATTTGTGTGGTGTGTTGATAATGAGAAAATATGTTGTTTAACGTTGAGTAAGATGACTGAAAATGGTGGAAAAGCATGAAATGAAATGAATAAATGAAGTAGATATTGAGTTCATGCTGAAACAGGTTTTGCTGGAAAAGTAATCAGTAAATTGACGACTGCGCAGGCTGGAAACGCGTCGCGACCCTGCACTGCGCAGGCTGGAAGCACGTCGCGCGCCGCGACTTTGCACTGCGCGCGCGCGACTTTCACTTCAAACTCTCTGACCCTCAATTGGCACATTACGTGCTCGCGACTCTCAAGTACGCGCTCGCGAAGTTGGCCCTTGGCCTGGGAGCGCTCGCGACTTGCATTGCGCGCTCGCGTAGTTGGCATGAAAACTCACTGTCTCTCATTTGGCACACTACGCGCTCGCGACCTTCAAGTATGCGATCGTGACTTGTGCCTGAGAACACACTGTCTCTCAATTTGCACTCTACGCACTCGCGACTTTCAAAAGGCGCGCTCGCGACTTGTCTTTTCCTGCACTTTTGGATTTCTTTTTCCATGCAATTGGATTCTTTTGCTCAACTTGTATGCATCCAATCATTCAATCATTTTAAAAAGCAAAAAGACAACATGAGAAACATGTATCAAAACAACATGCAGCATGCCCAAATGATGTGAAATGAGGTAAACAATACGGTTATGAGTTATGACTTCTATGCAATTTGCATTTCCTTTGCTCAACTTTGGTAATGCCTTCAATCATTTTAAAAACAAAAGACAAAACATGAAACACATGTATAAACACAAAATGCAAGCATGCAACTGAATGTGAAACTAAACATGACAAAGTTTGCCCCTTGGCGAGGCTATCAGCATACAGGTAAGCAGTATGGTTTATAGTATGGTTTATGAAATTATGAAGCAGTTAATTTCATGACACAAGCATTCAAATTATGATACAAGCATGTGAAAATAACATGACACAAGCATGCAAATTATGACGCAGTTACTATGCTTTTGTTTTATATATTGACATACCACTAATATTCTCCATTGAGGTTAGGTAGAAACCACTTAGATAAGACTATGTAGCGACATAGGACAGCAGATCTGCGCCCCATACAGTTTGGTACCCCGGCTACAGGCCGTTGAGTGGATATAATTATATAATGGCCATAGCAGCCCAGTCATACAGTATTCATACAGTTTCATACAGTTTTTCTTATCACTTCGGTTTCACTATAACCTTATGGAGCTATAAACCTTATGGAGCTATACAGTTATATTGACTACAAATTGCATAATCATACAGGTATATATGAGCAGCAAAGTACGATAATGAAAGTATCATGATATGTGGTGCTTACATTCCATATGTGAGTAGCATGTTTATTTCTACATATGTATGTGCTTGTATGTTTCTTTATTCGTTGGCGATATTCACTGAGTTTTAATAAAAGTTCAGAATTTCATACAGCATAAAGAACATCAAGGTAGTCGTGAAGGTATAATGCTATATATAAATGCTTACAAGTTTAATTTATTTAATTTTTACGGAGCCATACAAGTTCTATGAGATGTTATTAATCATAACCTATATGATGTGACTTAAAAGTGCATAAGTCCAATACAACATAATGAACAGCAAGTAAGACAGATAAAAATATATGTTTATGTGTTCTTACATGTTTATTTATTTAATTCCATACAACATAATGAACAGCAGGTAAGATCATGATAGTATCATGATATGTGTGATTAAAAGGTTCATGTAAAGGCGGTTATTGAGATAATTTGACTAAAATTATTTATGTTATGCATTAGAAGTTTATTTTTGCTAATAAAGATACATTTATGTTGGAAATTTCTGATTTATGATTAATCATGCTTTTTATAAACCTTTGTATTTTAGTAAGTTGCCATCCACATTTTGTTAAGTAAATGTGAATTATGGAGCACCAACTGAGGTTTTATACTCAGGCGCCGTCGATTTTTATCAACGCGTAGGTTGAAGATCGTGGTTTATTACTTTGAAGACTTGAAGAAGTACTTCAACGAAGTGATTAATTTGGGAGTAGGTAGATTGAAGAGTTATATAATTAAGAATTATGGGCATGTATTAAGATTTATGGCAATGTATAATTTTTATTACATTTGTTAGAGCTTATGTCCATTGGAAATATAATTGTAAGCATGTAAATTATTGTGGTGTAAGTATTTGGAGATAAGAATAAATACTTGGTGAAATGATTTGAATATGAAATATTTTTACTATAGTTTGGTATGATTAGGTCATGAACGACCCTTTAATATATATATAATGACTGCAATTAATTGCTGCTGGATATTAAAATGGCCATTTGAGGATTTCATACATTATGAAAGATATATAAATGTGTTATTGTGTTATGGGATGATTGTTTTGGAGGATGTTAGAAGTTTTAGAGTTTAATTGGGAGTGTTTTGTATTCATATTTTTAGCATATCAGGATGCATATCAAGCATGACAGGACATAGGTTTCACCAGATTGTAGCGTCTCGGCTTCGGTTTCATTCGGGTTTAAACGGGTGGGACCGGAAAGGGGATGTTTACAAGTGTAGAATCTTGAGCTAGTTTTATTAGGAAGAATAAAGGTTTTAGCCATGGGTAACATAACATCCAAAGGTTTTTAGTGACAAGTAATCGGGTTGTCCCGTTTGAATAACATTTCATAGGGAGAATGATTGGCTTAAAGTGTGAGTGGGCAATTCTGTTTGATTAAGATTAAACGGCATGATGACAATGCCAAAGGACCAAAGGTTGGATGGAAGAGATGCTTCATAGAGTATGTTCAAAGGCTTTCAATAATATGGCGGTGTCGGCGTTCAGCAGTGGCAACCCGTTGTGGAGTATATGGAGGGGATTTCAAATGTTCTATTCCATGTAGGTTAAGGTATGAATCAAGAGCCTGAAATTCACCACCACCATCAGTATAAAAAGAGAGAATTTTGAAATTGAAATGTCTTTCAACTAAAGGATGAAATTTTTTAAAAATTGATGTCACCTCATTTTTTTGTTTTAACTTGTAAAGCCAAATATATTTTGTATATTGATCAACAAAGATGCAATAATATAATTTTTTGTCAACAGACAAAGTGGGAGAGGGACCCCATAAATCACTAAAAATAGTTTGGAGTTTGGAGAGGCTTTGAAACTTGTCAAATGTAAGTTGAAGAAAAATGGGGTTGCCTATGAGCTTTATTAGAATGAACAGGAATTATGACAGGAATTACAAAAAGATAATTTGTCTTGAACTGAAACAGAAATAGAACATTTATTTAAAATAAGATGCAGAACTCTATCATGAGGATGACCGAGTCTACGATGCCAGGTTTCAAGAGAACTAGTGGAGGTTGCTATGTGCGCTGTAGGGAAAGAGCAGGAGGAGGGAGTCTTTGGCCACTCTTATAATCCATTATTACTCCGACCGTGCACCAACGGCTTCCTGGTTGCAAGATCCTTGACAACAAAATTAGAAGGAAAAAATTCAACTGAGATTAAATTGTCTTGACAAAATTTATTAACAGAAATTAAATTTGTTTGAATTTGAGGAGCACAAATGGTATTAGACAGCTGGAAAAAGCTTTTGTTAGATGCATATAAATTGAAATAGAACCAGTGTGTGTAATTGGGATGTTGTTACCACCATCACCCATTGCTACTTCTTCAAAACCAGTGTATTCAGGCATGTCCTGAGGATCAGCAGTGATATGATGGGTGGCACCGGAGTCGAGGACCCATGGTTTGTCTGACATTTGAGAGGCTGAAACAAAATTAGCTCTGGCTTGAAGATGATTATATGATTTGCTGCGACACACAGATGCAGTGTGACCATATTTGTTGCATAATTGACAAGTGACTCCATTGTAGGAAGTGTTAGAGGATGGTGGACGCCAAGTTGATTGTTGATTTGGTCTGTTTGGATGCCACTGGTTTGGCTGGAAGTTGGAAGGTTGCTGGGTATTATTAGAAAAATGCCGATTGGATCGACCATTGCGAGCAGTGTATGTAGCTTGATTAGCTACAACTATGGGAATAATTGAGGAGACTGGTTTTACTTCACTTTGAAGACAAAGTTCATGGTCTAGAAGTTTTTCACAAAGTTCTGGGTACTCAATCGGAACACTCCTGTTGCGAATTGCAGCTGCTACTTCTCGCTAATTTGAGTTTAGACCACTGAGAATTTTAACAGTAAGCTCAGGTTCGGCCATTGGAGAACCTGCAGCAGCAAGTTCATCGGCAATTTCACGAATTTTATGAAGATATTCGGTGATACTTTTTTCATCTTTTTGTATGCGACCGAGTTGATCGCGCAAGCTATAAATGCGTGTATGACTTTTGTTGGCATAGGTGTTGTGAAGAATTGTCCATGCTGCATAGGTGTTGTGAAGAATTGTCCATGCTTGAGCAGAGTTGGAAGCATTACCAACAATGGAGGCAATGGTTGGATCAACAGAGGCCATCATTGCTTGATGAATGAGGCGATCCTGCCGCAACCATAAACGGTATGCTGAGTTGGGTTGAGAGGTGTTATCTTGAGTGATTGTTTTTGGAGGAGACGGTGTGGTGTCATCAAGATGACCAGCAAGGTCATGGCCATCAAGAAGAAGAGTTAATTGAGTTTTCCAGGTGGAGAAATTGGAACTGCCTTTGAGCTTAATAGGCAATTGAGCAGAGCAGTAGGGATTGATGGTTATTTCAATGGGGGGTTTGGAAGTATGTTTATCAGAATTTAGAAATGGTCTGCTGGGATTAATTGTTGTGGAAAAGAAAAAAAAAAAATTGAATCAAAGACTCTTTTGAGTTTATGAGAGCTCTAGATACCATAATAAATATAAAAGTGAAGAATGAATATTGTATATGTTATTCCCAGTAAAACAAGTGTTTAAATACAAAGAGATAAAACTAAAGAGAATAAACTGAATTCCTTAGCAATAGGAATCAGTAACAAACTAATCCTATCATAACAACTCAATCTCAACATAATCAAAAACAAATAATACAAAGTCAATCAAAAACAGATAATACAAAGTCAAAGATATGGGAAGAGGTACAGATATACTGCTAATAAAAACTAATTAAAACAGTTAGAACGAAATTGTGCAGTTCAAATAGATTTGATTCGGACCTATTCTCAGTTTGGTTCGTGGGAAATCCGATTTTATATTTTTGATCTTTGGTTTGATTCAAAACCATTTGCTCTCTCATAGTGTACATTCGTGGGAAGTCCGATTTTATATTTTCATCTTTGGTTTGATTCAAAATCATTTGCTCTCTCATAGTGTACACCAGTACACTGAAATGTCTTATCTTATCTTTTAAGGAAACCTTTAACTTGCAAATTATACTAATATTACACATTTTTCCACACTAATGACATTAACTTTTAGAGCTTTTGATTTAATATATAATTAACATAATTTTTTAAAAAATAATTTTCACTTTTTCAATCCAAAGATTTTGCAAATTAAAATTTATTTATATAAATTAAAGTGTTTTAATAGATCAAAATAAAAAATAAAAAAAAGAAAATACATAAAATTAAAATAATAAAATTTAAGCGTGAATTTTCATATCCAACCATGTGTTATATTATGAGGGAACTTTACAAGTACGTGTGCAACATTGATTTACTTCGCATTTCAGAAAAAGAAAGACAAGGAAGCTATAGAGATCAGACGACAATATTATTACGAACACATCATCTATAAAGACTCAGATTAAGCTCTCGCCTCATAAAATCATGCCTCAGCTTAGAGCTTCCTTACAAGTCCTTTAACTATGCTATATTTCTTAAGAAGAGATCAGTTTTCTTTTTCATGCTACTTCTTGTTTTTTCACCTTCTCGGCCTCGAGCCTCCTTAATGTGGTGGAACTGAGCTTATCACCATTAGATCCTTCTGAAAGTAGATCCACGACTTCAATCTGCACAAGATCAATATCCTTAGGCTCTAATGTTCGGATGTTTAAAGAACTATGTACATATCTATCTTTACAAATTGATATAAAAGCAAACTATATATAATGAACTGAAAACTCTAACCTTTAGAAGTGGGAGTCCTTTCTCAGCCCTCTTCTTATTGACTGACAGCCCACCTGGCACTGTCTCCTTGCTGCCTCAAAACCAACAGTCCGTCAAATTTCAAAAATGATTCTGCCAAATTTTTTAGGTAAGGAGTGAATATTGCTAGCCCAGAAGAGCAAGATATAATGCATAATTATTGCATTCTTTTCTTTACGACAACAAATTTTAATAATTGCATACCTAAAGGTGATAACAAAAATAGCTGAGAAAACTCAAGCAGCTTAATATAATAATCACAAAGTTTAGGCAAAGAACCATGCATTATATACATCAACCCTGATGTATATTTAACAGCAACTCCATATGATGTAAAATTAACATATCCATCATCCATATTTAGTTAGAAAGATGATATTTCATCAAGGAACAATAATAAGAAAACAAATAAACAAAAATAAAGTAAGAAGATGAAGATTATGACAGTGAAAACTTAAACATAAAAAATGTATCCAAGAATGACTCACCTTACAACTATAGCCTCCAAATTTTCATCAACGATTGAAGGTCCATAGGGATCAACGATAGGTTCAACTTGCACAGCAAGTTCTGGTTTAATGGACTGCACAAAGATTTGAAAGAAAACAGGTGATCATTTACCTGTTATAGAAATTGTAAAAAAAAAAAAAAAAAAAAAAAAAAAAAAAAAATTTTGAGATACTACCATGCCAAACGAAACCACCTTGACCATTACACAATACATTAATTTTAGACTGCACGGACTGCCAACTGTTCACTTATTTTGCAATAATGCGACATGGTCTAGAGCCAATTCCAATTCAATTAGGAAAGAAAAAAATAAAAAAAACCACAGGACAATCAGCTTCTCTTCATTGCTAAAACATACATTCTTTGAGACACAAAGGCATAGGATCATCAGGCTGAAACAAACGACATTTTGAGAAAATGGGAGACGATAATCAGAATACATTAACCTGCCTGTGCATCCCTTGACACATTACTGTTGTTGCCAGTTTATAAAACCTTGGCCACAGTTCCACAAATAGAAAAGAACAAACAAAGCACAAAGTGACATTTTCCAAATTGAAAGAAATAATAGAACATCTACCTTGATGTAATTTTCAACATTTCGCATCCTTTCTTCAATGGGCTGTATTAAGTCAGCAAACTGCAGAAGCAGAAATTTCTAATCATTAAAAACTCTATTGTGCGATAAATAAGGCACATTTAAATCGTTAATTTAAAGGGTATGCTTGGCAAATGTTGCAGAGAACAATAAATCAATAGCTGCCAGAAGAGCTCACAAGACAAGAGACCAAGAACAACATACAATTACCAACATTGCTCATTAAATAAAGTAATAGCAAGAACACCTATACATTAAAATTTCCAGGCAAACTAATATTAAAACAATTCAAGATATTGAATACTAGGAGCTTTTATGCCTCAGAAGAAGAGGAAAAAATGTGAGACTATTCAATAAATTGAGAGTAATATAAAGAAATTGAACTGATAAACTAACCTGCTTCTTAGTTAACATGGGACCATCGCAAACTCCAATAACAATTCGATCCCTAGACAGCTCTGCCGATGCCTACTATTCAAGCCATAGTCAAAACCTTTTTTTTTTTTTTTTCCTTCCAATAAATAAAACTAAAAACAAATTGAATTTTGTGTAAAAAAAAAAAAATACCTTTAGAAAAAGGCGATGGCCGTCATGTAATCGGTCGAAGGTGCCGCCGAGAACCACCGCACCATATGTATTAGGCGGTGATATCGTCCAATTAACCATAGATTCGTCTAATAACGCCATTTTAAGCACTAGCACCAAAAAGACAGAAGCGTCTTTGAGTTTTCGTTTAATTCTGATCAATTTATATATATATATAGAGAGAGAGAGAGAGGGACTTTTAGGTACAACGAACCTGGACGTATTGTGGTTTGTTTTTGGAAGAAGTGAGTGGGTTAGCTTGGTAATGCATTTGTTTGAGATCAGAAACAGAACCTATTAGTTGAATTTAAAGCCGAGATTGAGGAGATCAACGACCATCGAAGAGGACAAAATTAAAGAGACAAATTTAGAGGAAAAGGAAAATTTTTGAAACAACGTATTTGGATATAACATAAAAATACAAGTTTCCGCTAAGTAAATTTGGTCAAAATTAAAATTTTTGGATAACAGCAACTAGTGCTTTCCTCTCTCACCGCTGTTCTAGTGTTCTCCCATTTCTCACGCTTTTAATTTTTTATTCACTTTAATAAAATCAAACATTTTTATTTTTCAAAAAAATTAAAAGACATTAATGGGCCTGAATTTTTAGAGAGGTTTGTGGTTTGTTTATTGTACATTTGATTTTGTTTGTTTGTTATCTAATTTTTAATTACAATGATTAGCATTTGCTATTATATTGGCAAGTAGGACTCAATATGTGCGGTGCTTCCTTTGCTATTTATCCCTAGAAAAAAAAAATTATTCTAGGATTTTAACTCACAAATTCTATATATGGGAGGCCTGGATTATTAGATTTTTTTTTTTATTAATTGAATTCTGTCTAGGAGAATTGGGTTATTAGTTATTCTAAGTTTGAGTCATGAGCTTTGCAAGGGGGACAATGATCTCTATCGTTAATGTTTCTTTGCTTTCAATGCTCTTGAACCTGGAAAACCATTGGCTATTTGAGGTTCTATTCCCATTGCTTTACTTACCAGTTTGTCGCCATTGATTCTGGGAAGAATAATAACTGTTGTGTCTCAATTCTATGTTTTTCTTTTTATTTTGGTCTCTCGCAGGAAAACTTTTTTAATTGTCTATACTTAAAATTTTGCAATTGGTGTCATTGATCACTTTAGATTTTCGGAATGATGAGTCAGCAAACACGGTCTACTTTTTATGAGGTGGCAGCTGACATGGAGGCCACTTTTTATTAGGCTTTACACCTGCTTTCGTCATTGTCTTAAACAACCCAATTGCCTCCTTGCCAAAATCCATTTTGCTCGTATCCAGAAATCATGGGATTCCACGTTACAACACTTTTTTCCGACATTTTGTCATACACCTTCCTCGGATAACCCAAATCACCGGACTTGGCATAAAAGTGACCAAGGCTGATTGCACATGCCCATACAAGCCAAACCTATTCGCTAAAACATGTCCATGAATGATTTTACCGGCTTTCAAGGATGATAAATCAAACAGATTTTATAACAAATGTAAAAGTATAATTTGATGGTGAGATATTAAAAAGGAGCATGCAACCTTAGAAAATAAATTGAATAGATGTAGAAGTTGTGAAATTGGAATGTGGATTTGATTAAGGAATTGAATCAAAAGGCATCAGGCTTTACATAGAGTGAAACATTTGGCTGTAGATAGGGGTGGCCACGGTTCCGGAACCGAACCGAAAAGGTCCGGTTACGGAACCGGCGGTTCCGGTTCCAGTCGGTTCCGGTTCTAGAAAAATTGGAACCGAAATCGAACCGAAAAGGTCCGGTTCCGGTGAAACCGGCGTTCCGTTCCAAGTTTCGGGTTCCGGTTTCTAGGAAAAAAATTGCGAACCGAAAATCGAAACCGAAAAGGTCCGCGTTTCCGGTGGGACCAAAACCGACATGTTCCGATCCCGGTTTATCCACAAAATCGCATAATTTTAAATTTTTGAAGGACGGTTAAAAAAAAAATTATTTGAACAATAAAAAATTTAAAAAAAAATACACCTAAAAAAATACTTCAATAAATTATTTTTTTTAAAGACTTGAACATAATTATTTTTTTTAAAAAAAAATTTTTCAAACTGAATTTATTTTTTGTTTAAAAAAGTTTGAACATAATTTTAAAAAAAAAAAGGGCTTGAACTAATTTTTTTTTTTTAAAAAAAAAAATTAAAGTTGCCTACGTATCTCTTGGGTTTAGAGGAATCAAAACCCACGTTTAATTTTACTTTACCTTACACCAATTTCACCCCTCTTTACTTAATTCGCCTATTTGCACCATTCAGTTGATGTTTCCCGTTGAGGACCCATCGTATTAAATCATTATTAAATATAAATCATATAAATCTTCATTTTCTTTTGGATTTTCTTGGGCTCTTAATTCGGCCTTGGTCCAATCATCCACGCATGATTATGCTTCTAATGAATCCGGTGTCATACGAGATCGTGTTTCATCAAGTATGTTTCCTCCTTGACTAAAAGCTTGTTCAACCGCAACAGTGGAGACCGGAGCTGCTTAAACTTGTTTTGCAATTAAAGAAATAATTGGAAAAGTATTTGCGTGACGACTCCACCAATCTAAAATTGGAAAATCAGTATCTGCATAATCATCACCAAACTCAAAAGAAGTGGTTAGTTATCAAATTCAGAAAAAGAACGGCATTCCTTGTTCTTTTTTGTCCTTTTGTAGTAAAACTTGTTGAGCCAACACCAACACACTTACCCTTTTGTGTTGGAAATTGTTGAAATATTAGATTGAGAAGAATAGAAATAGATGAACTAGAAAACTTGAACAAATTCATTATATAATTGTTATTAATATTTTTGTTTAACTTCATGCATTACTACATTTATATTAACATTATATTAACATTATCTTCTACATCAAGATTTAATAATTCATAATAAATAGTCAAATAATCACATAAAACATCAATTTTACATCTAGTATCAAATACAATAGCAATAAGATAAAGGGATGATATATTTTTAAAATAAAATAACCATTTTTTTTATTGAAAAAATACAATCTTTTAATAAATCATCATTTTCAAATTCTTGGAGTGCGCTAACAATATTAATACACATAGGTAAAAATAAATGAGATGTGGGATAATAAACCCCACTAAATTTATAGGTAGCATCATTAAAAATTTTTAAAATATCTTTTGCACAATATCCCCATTTTGTTGGGGGATATATAAATTATATCTTCATATTTAGTACAAAAAAGCATAATAATTCTTTATAAAGAAAAGACCTTTTCGTTAGTAATTCATAGTGTTGATTTCATCGGTTGGACATTTGGAAAACGTTTTGGTCTTTTATTATTTTTCTTTACAAAATTTGCCCAACTGTTTCATCATTGGGGGATGTCCCATAAATTGAAATAGCTTTTTAATTTGGAGAATAAAAGATTCAAAATTCTTTTTATAACATTTTGTAACATAAGATTTAAAACATGGCATGCACATCTTATATGAAACATTATATCCACATATTTGGTTCACAAATATTTTTAAGTTCAATTTGATTTAGTATTTGAGAACATTATCAAATGAAATTGGAAAAAATTTTTTTTGTAACTATATCACTAAAATTGAAACATTATTTATAATATTATTTATAGTAATGTTAATCAAAAACACGAAAACATAATTCTTTTTTGATTTTCATATCTCATCAATCCAATACATTGTATACCTATATAAGATGCATTTGCAATGATACTCCAAAATCACACAATTGACACATGAATTTTCATTTAGAAAATAAAGCTCTAACTTTTTTTCCTTTATTATTATAAAAATAATGTTCGTTTTACATATTTTTGGTACTCTTTTAGCAGAAGGATTTAAAGCTTTTTACAATATTATTAAAACCTACTTTTTCACCAAACTATTTTAGATACTGTCATGCAATATTTGTATTTTTTTGTATTTTTTTCGAATATTGAAATAAAGAAGGTTAGAAGATGTGTATCGATTATGTTTTTCCAGACGATACTCTATTTTGTTGGATGTTTTGTGTCTCCAAATGCCTTTCCAAAATGATCATAAGCGCCGTGTTTAAGATTATATAAAATTTTTCCGACAGATTAATTGCAAATACAGTCGTACATTTTACTACGTTTGAATTTTTTCGTGAAATGAATCGCGATATGTTGAACTTTGTCTTGCTCTTCAACAATTTTGCTCGTTGTCTTGCTCTTGCTCTTCTTTATTCGTCAATTAAATTAGATTCTTAGTTGGAATTTTCAAATTTCATTTGGATTCTCTCAAATGAATTGGTTGGGAGTGAAATATGAGATGTCGTTTGTAGGATAGATGATATTGTGTTTCTCCAATCTTTCCTTGCCTTACCTCGAATTTTGATTTCCTTCCAATCATTATATGATAATAAGATTATAATTTAGAAAATTGAATAAAAAAATTAGAGAGAATAATAACTTATAAGAGAGATTGTAAGCGTAGGAAGAATAATGAATATATAGAGTAGAGTGGTAGTATATTGTAGAGAGAGTAAGTAGAGGTTGTAGTTTGTAGAGAGAGTATGAGAGAGTTGAGAATTTTTGTAATGATTGTAATAAAAATGAGATTTTAATAATCAAATTCTTTTTCAAAAATACTTTGAACTAGCGTTATGTTTAGCCGTTTATGGCTGTTGGGAGGGGTATTAAGAGATTCAAAAAAAAAAAAAAAAAAAAAAAACTGGTCTGACAGTTTATAACGGTTAGAACCGCCGGTTCTAACCTGCCGGGGAACCGGCGGTTCCAGTCCAGTTTCGACCGATTCTCTGGAACCGCCGGTTCTGGTTCCAGATATTTGGAACCGAAATCGAACCGAAAATCTCTGGTTCCGATTTTGGTTCGGCCCGGTTCCGGTTACGGTTCCGGACCGGTTCGAACCGACGGTTTCGGTTCTCGGAACCGTAATATGGCCACCCCTAGCTGTAGGAAAGGGAAACTGCTGTGCAAGCTAGACTGAGAAGCTTCATGTGAAGAGAAAAGTTTTGATCGAAGCCAGGACGAGCATGCGGGCATGGGCTTGCTGGAGAGGTTTGTAAAAAGGACCCACTTTGAGGAGAAAGTGGTAGGCTGGAGAGTGAAGGAGTGGATGGAAGCGTCTTGTGTCATTAAAGTTTGCCATGGAAGCGTAAGAAAACAAGGGGAAGTTTGAGCAGTCAAGGTTCTCCTGAATTTAAATTTGTAACTTACTGTTTAAAAAAAAATGCAGGGTTTGTAGTTGGGAGTAGGGGTGGCCATATTACGGTTTCGGAAACCGGAACCGTCGGTTCGAACCGATCCAGAACCGTAACCAGAACCGGTAAGAACCGGAACCGGGCCAAACCGGAACCGGAGATTTCCGGTTCCAAATTTCTGGAACCAAAACCAGTGGTTCCAGAGAACCGATTGGAACCGGACTGGAACCGTCGGTTCCCAGGCCGGTTAGAACCGGTTCGAACCGGCGGTTCTAGCCGTTATAAACTGTCAGACCAATTTTTTTTTTTTTTAATTTTGCTATGAAATTAACCCTCCAGCATAAACGCTACATAACGGCTAGGTTTAAGGGTTATTTTTGGAAAAAAATTTTTGGATTTAAATTATAAATCGCTCATTTTAATTACAATTCATTCCAAAATTCAACTCTCTCTATTCTCTTCTACAATATACTACACTTACTATATTTCATTATCTTCTCTACTTACAATTTCTCTTATTAGTTATTATCCTTCTATTTTTTTTTTATTCAATTTTTTCCAAATTATATATTATTTTCATATAATGGCAAGTGGAAGAAACTCAAATTCTGCTAAGAGCAAGGGAAAGATTGGAGAAACACAATATTCATCTATCACTACAAACGACATCTTCGATTTCACTCCAACCGATTTAATTTTGGGGGATGTCCAAATGAAAATATGGAAATTCTTGTGAACCCCTCCCCCCAAAAATAGGCATATAATGAATATGACTAAGGGCAGAAATGCACATGAATGTGTGAGTGGCCACCTTGTTTAATTATTTTAGGGTAAACTAAGAAAAAACCCTAAGTTGACTCCAATTTTAATTAACCTAATTACTAGATTAATATAATGTACGACGTAATTTGCAATTATTGTGAAAATCTTATAAATTTAAACAAGCAAGCGGCTATGATCATTTTGGAAGCATTTTGGAGACAAAATATCCACAAAAAATAGGAGGTTGAATCGTCTGAAACACAACATTTCCCGTGTACACATCTTCTAAACCTTTCTTTATTTGCAATATTCTGAAAAAATACAAAAAAGAAGAATTAAGCAAAAATGATTTCCTATGGAACATTTAATCTTTTAGTTTTGGGAAAAAAGTAGGTTTTAATAATTATTGTCCAAAAAAGCTTTAAATCCTTCTGCTAACAGAGTCCGAAGAAATTCTGTAAAACGAACTATTATTTCTTTATAATAATAAATGAAAAAAAGAGTTAGAGCTTTTATTTTCTCAAAATGAAAAATCGTGTTTCAATTTGTTGTGATATTTGGAGTTTGATCATTGGCAAATGCATTCTTTAATATGGGTATTACATGTCATTTAGATTGGATGATGATTGGAAAATTAAAAAAGAATTATTGCTTTTTTGTATTTTTGATGATAAATCATACTGCAAATAATATTTATAGAATACATTGTTGTCAATTTTAGATGAATATAAGTTGACAAAAAAAATTTTTTTTCAATTTCCATTTGATTAATGCTTCTGCAAAATACTAAATCAATTATTGAACTTAAATATTTGGTGACCAAATATTGGTGAAAAATTTTTTCATATAAGATTGTGCCATCGCTAATGTTTTAAAATTTATGTGTTACAAAGATGGTTTAAAAATTCTTAAATCTTTATTTCTCCAATTAAAAAGCTATTTTCCATATTTAAATGGGGACATCCACCCAAGTGATGAAAAGTTGGGCTTAAATTTTGTAAAAAAAAATAATAAAAGACCCAAAACGTTTTCCAAGGGATGTCCCAACTCGTTGGAATTCAACATATGTAATTCACTAAAACGAGTCCTTTTTTCTTATAGAATTATTATTGCTTTTTTGTTTACTAATAATATTGAGGATTTAATTATATGCCACAAAATTTGGGATATTTGTGCAAAATTTTAGATATTTTTAAAATTTTTAATGATGCCTACCTATATTTTAGTGGGTTTATTATCCCCACATCTCATTTATTTTACCCTATGTGTTTAATTATTGTTAGTGCACTCCAAAGAATTTTGAAAATGAATGATTTATTAAAAGATTGTATTTTTTTCAATGAAAAAAATGGTTATTTTATTTTAAAAATATACCCCAGTGCCCCCGTTTATCTTATTGCCTAATTGTAATTTGGATCCTAGATGTAAAATTGATGTTTTTATGTGATTATTTGACTAATTTTATTAATGAATTATTAATCTTAATGTAGAAGATAATGTTTAATATATAATATAAATGTAGTAATGCATGAAGTTAAACAAAATATTATGCAATTATATAATGAATTTGTTCAAGTTTCTAGTTCATCTACTTTTACTTCTTCTCAATCTAATATTCAACAATTTCCAACACAAAGGGTAAGTGGTGTTGGTGTTGCTCAACAAGTTTTACTACGAAGACAAAAAAGAACAAGGGAATCCAGTTCTTTTCTGAATTTGATAATTATCTAACCACTTCTTTTGAGTTTGGTGATTATTATGCATATATTGATTTTCCAATTTTAGATTGGTGGAGTCGTCACGCAAATACTTTTTCAATTCTTTCTTTAATTGCAAAACAAATTTTAGCGGCTCCGGTCTCCACTGTTGCGGTTGAACACAGATTTAGTCAAGGAGGAAACATACTTGAGAACCACGATCTCGTATGACACCCGATTCATTAAGAAACACAATCAATGCTTGAATGATTGGACCAAGGCCGAACTAAGAGCCCAAGAAAATCCCAAAAGAAATGAAGATTTATTATGAATTTATACGATGGGTTGCCTCAACGGGAACATCAACGCGGTGGTGCAAATAGCGATTTAAAGTAAAGGGGTAATTGGGTATAGGTAAGTAAGAACTACGTGGGCTTTGATTCCTCTAAACCCGCAAAGCAGGATACGTAGGCAACCTTTAATTTTTTTTTTTTTTAAAAAAAAATTAAGTTCAAGCCCCTTTTTTTTTTTTTAAAATTATGTTCAAACTTTTTTAAACAAAAAAATAATTCAGTTGAAATGTTTTTTTAAAAAAAAATAAATTAATGTTTTCAAGTCCTTAAAAAAAATAAATTTAAATTGAAAGTAAATTTTTTTAATTTTTTAGGTGTATTTTTTAATTTTTTTATGTTCAATAATTAATTTTTTTTAAAAGCCGGTCTTTTCAGAAAATCTTAAAATTTAAAAATGTATGCAGATTTCGCCCGGAAAACCGATCGAACCGTTCGGTGATTCGCCGGAAAACCGATCGGAACCGTCGGTTTTGTCACCGAACCGGAACCGGAACCAGAACCGGACGGTTCCAAACAGGAACCAAAACCGAACCTTTTCGATTCGGTTCCGGTTCCAGTTTTTCTGGAACCGAAACCGTGGCCACCCTTAGTTGGGAGCAATAAATGAAGCGCAAAAATGGAAAGAGCATACATTAAATCACGTGCTAGTCAGAGTGGGCTTAGTGGCGTCCAGTCAGCTGCCACCTAATAAAAAGCGACCGGCACTTTTGTTAACTCAGCATTCCGGCATCTAATGTGATTATAGACACTCAATTGCAAATTTTTACAAGTACAAAAACTCGATTGAAAAAGTTTTCTGTCGAGACATTAAAATAGAAGAAAACACAGAGTTCAAGCACCAAAGTTATTATTTTTCCTTGATTCTCTTAATATTGATGCTAAATATTGTGTGATTTGTTTCTTCTTTGGACCATAAATTTGTTTGCAATGTTGCATTTGTTTAAACTTAATGATTGAGCTTCTAAACTTCTTTTTAAAAGATGGCTCTTTCTGGGTTTCATAAAGATAGAGGAGAGTTGAGGGTTCATGAATGTTTGAATGAGTTTGGCAGGCCTCTGCAAAGAAGAGGGGGTGTTATTGTCATTGCCTTGTTTTAACTATTAGGGACCCTAATATTCTTGAAAATTAAAAACTCAATTATAAATCCTAATAAAAAATGGAATGTTTTAATTTAACTAGGAAAAATATATAATTAGGAATTTATTGTTATGACAATAAAGAACTAATACTAGTGATGTGCTCCTAGCACCAAGTATGATCCTTCAAACATTTATTTATGCTAATTTTCGACTTTAAGCCTAATTAGGTTATAAATATACTACCTCTGTTCTATAATATTTGCTACATTTGTGAAAATAATTTGTTCCGACATACTTGTCACAATTATGGTTCCAAGGAATAATAATTTTTTTTTACATGTTTACCCTTTGTATATGACCAATAATTATTACTTTAATTTAATCATTTTCTTAGAAAATTAGTATTAAATTAATGATAATATAATCAATTTACTCGATAACTTATTGTAACTTAGATAAACTTAATAATTTTCTTAAGAGACTAGAAATTACAAATGTTACGAGTATAATAAATCAGAGTTAGTAACTAACTAGTTCGAGCTAAACAAGTTTGATTCGAAAAGCTAATTGCATATTCATGATCTATACACAAAATGTGGTATTCGTACTACAATGTTTCCAGTCGCTGGAAACATTCGTCGGACCGCCGCACCGCCTCTACCGGTGGCCAGAAATCTAACGGTCAATGATTCTTGCAATCTTACAGTCAAAATGTTCTAAATCTAATGGGGATTATTAATCTAAGCTCAATCTCTGAAAATATTAGTCAAGTAAATCCCTAAATTTTCTTAAATTTCATCCTAAAACTTCAACATTCCAAATCCTTCACAAAATGGAGAAATTGATGGAAAGTAACTAGCATTAAGGACTTAGAAGGAGGTTTGAGGTTTACCTCATTGGCAGGAACTGCCGCAAACGGCGTGGTCTTGCTTGAATGTGAACTGCCAACAGGGAAGCTTGGAACACAACAAGAGATAGGATGCAAGATCAAGAAGTAGGTTGTTATCATCAATAGAGGGCCATATCTCGCCGTTTCTTGGCCGGCAATGGAGAATTGGTGGCTGGAGCGAATGGAAGTCACTCTCTCTCCACTGTTCGAGCGAAGAACGGTCCAAAGAATGACCAAGCTAAGATGGTAACGCGGACAGGAAGATAGCCTTGACGAGTTAGGGCCTTTTCCGGCTGGATCCTAGCCGTTCGTTCACCGGAAATGGAAGAGAATGGCAGAGAGAGCTGCTGAAAAGAAACTAGCTAGGTCGTGGAGAGAATGTGATTTTTGTTGCTTTAGATCCGACTCAGCCCTGAACCAAGTGATTCCGGTTAGATTATAGAAGATTCCAGGCTCTAAATTATTTTCCTCTGATTTGATCTGATGTACAGTGGTTTTTGTTTGGTTTTTGATATTCTTTATTTTTTTATAAAATTCTAGTTATTACAATAAAATAATATTTTTATTTATATTACACATTGTCTTTATTCATTTTTTAACTCATGATTTTGCACGTTGCGCGCAGATATTTATAAATTATTTAAATAATTACTTGTATTGAATTATATAACTTTATATTACACATTGTCTTTATTCATTTTTTAACTCATGATTTTGCACGTTGCGCGCAGATATTTATAAATTATTTAAATAATTACTTGTATTGAATTATATAACTTTATATTACACATTGTCTTTATTCATTTTTTAACTCATGATTTTGCACGTTGCGCGCAGATATTTATAAATTATTTAAATAATTACTTGTATTGAATTATATAACTTTATATTACACATTGTCTTTATTCATTTTTTAACTCATGATTTTGCACGTTGCGCGCAGATATTTATAAATTATTTAAATAATTACTTGTATTGAATTATGTTGTTATATGGAGAATTTTTAGTTTACATCTTCAATAAGATTAATAATAAATGATTTGAAGTATATTTTTTGAGTAAAATCTATATTTATATGTATTTTTGAGTAAACTAATTTTGAAGTCAGAATTATCTACACGTATATTTATTAATTGAAAACACTCAACAACCAATCAAAAATCAAAAATTTTAAAATTATATAATTATCTATATATTTATTAATTATAAATTAGTTGAAAATTTAAAAATTTCAGATTTATAATTTTCTATATATCTATTAATTTTAAAAACGTATACCCAATCAATTAAAAATTATAGTCGTTCTGTGCGGGTTATTTATATATTATTTCAATAATTATTTAGTACATTAATCAAAAATAAAAATTAGCAAAATTATTTTAGATAAAACCTCAAGAATTAATAATAATTAATCCTTATATTTACTTCCAAAGAAAATAAAAAAAAAAAACTTATAAAATTTCAATCAACAAATAAAGAAAATATGTACATCAAAGAATAAAAATAATAAATAAATAAGAGTAATTAGAAAGGTCATGGAAGAAAGAAATACTTAAAAAACATAAATTGAGTAAACAATCTTCTCTGCAAAAAAAAAAAAAAAAAAAAAAAAAAAAAAAAAAAAAAAAAAAAAAAAAAAAAAAAAAAAAAAAAAAAAAGAAAAAGAGATAGATTAAATTTAATCAAAAGGTAAAAAAAAAAAAAAAAAAAAAAAAAAAAAAAAAAAAAAGAAAAAGAGATAGATTAAATTTAATCAAAAGGTTATGGGAACTCGTAAATGTAGAGAGAGAGAGAGAGGTAGATAGAAATAAATTTGAAAAAGGAAAATTTAAAAATGTCCAAAGGTCTAATTCTCAATAAGTTATAATTCTCTACATATATTTATTTAACAAAATAAATTATGAAAATTGTTTAGAGTTGAGATTTCTTTTATAACTATTTGGATGCCATTTATTTACGTGATAATTTTATTTTTGATACATAAAAGAACGCTTAATAAATAGAAATAACATTCTCCATATTGGTGATAATTTCTACGAAAACTCGAACTTATACTTGATTGTCATAATTTTAACATAATTTCATTTAGTAAAGCATAATCTAAATTCTCACAATAGTTTGAAATTTTAGTATTTCTATACATAGTCCTTTTACCTTACTAATAGTAAATGGATAAAATAAAATTCTGCATTATTTATTATAGTACCTAATAGTTGAGAGTATTATCTATTGAAGAAGCTTATATTTATTTGTCCAATCCATTTTTTAGAAAAGATACCTTATACCAACCTAGTAGAGAATTCAATTAAAAAAATTTTATAAAATAATATTGACAAATAATATATAAAAAAAAGACTATATATTGATAGACAGATAATTAAAGATTTAAAAAATTAAATTGAAAAAAGAAAATAAAAGAGACAGAATAATAATAATAATTCTTAGGCATATGCTCTTTATGTCATGCATTCCTATTACCTTCTCCCATACAAAGTATAGCGATATGCAAGCAAATCTAAATGTTATAAATTGATGATGAATAAGCATTATGTAACGGTAGCATCACGAAAGCTGGATTTGGTAGGAGAGAGAATGCATTATAATGATTGAGAAGCTCATCTCCAACGCTCTTTAGATCATCCAAGTTTGATAATGCAAAAAATCAACTTTCAATTTCATAATGATAGATAGAAAAGAAAAAGTCATCTGCTTACCTCGAAATTACCTCTCTTTACAGACCTTTGCAACTAAAACCTTGAGCTTGGAGGATTCCTGGATGGCAACTTTCTTCCTCTCCATTCGTCCTTGGAGAGACTCACCCAGGGGACCATTGGTAATAGCCTTTATTGCGGTGAAAGGAATCGCCAAGAAAACCAGAACTCAAGCTTCAAACAGTAATATTGAAGTATATTAGACTCTATAGAAAGTCAGCTCATTAGACTCTCATATTTTTCTTGTTATTTTTCTTAGTCAGCTTAATTGAGATTCGATGATTAATACAACTCAGAGCATTATTCCCTATTTTGTAATCTTGTTGACTTTATGTATCATCTCTTTACTTTGTAACTATAGTTTCATAACCATTTTACTTTTGTAGCTGTAATTAGTTCATGGTATCAGAAATGGGCCTTTATTATACCAAATCAAACGTGAAATAAGCAGTTTTAGTTAGGGCATCTTATCTATGATGTGTACTTCACAAAGTTAAAAGCATATGTGGGATGAGTTAGGAATTGCCTATGTGTAGATGTGGTGCTATGAAATTGATAGTAGATTTAGATAATGAAGATAAACTCATTCAATTTTTTTATTCGTGGATTTTAATTCAGTTTTTTTACTTGTTTTGATGAGAAAATTCATGGGTAATTCAGTTTTATGTTTGAAAATTCATGGATAATTAAATTACTAAAAAGAATTTATTATAACAATCTAATTAGAATAGTTTGCATTGTTAATCATTATATAAATACATAATAAAATATAATATTTCATATTTTACAATTATTAATAGTCTCTAATTTTAATTTTTTAAAATTAGAGAAAGAAAATAGAAAAACAAATAACAATAAGTGTACTGTTTAATTTTCTTTTTTTATTTTCCATGAATGTTGATCAAAACTATTGCTTCTCATTAATGGATTTTTTGTTGCCTGATTCTTGAATTGATATTATGTATATTTGAATTCAAAGGAAAATCCCAAGGCTTTTGTATGCATATGTTTATTGACAGGCTCAAGATATAATAAAGAAAATGCCTTGATAAAGTTTAATTTCGGTATGAATATTTTTTTTGTGTAAACCACCAATATCCGGTCCCCATTCCCAAGGATCGCCTATCCGGCTCAGGGCTCAGTCACAGTTAAGGCCCTCTTATCCCTCACTGCAGGTGCGTTTAGTGGGATCAAACCTCAAAACTCTTCCCATATGCCTGGCTTGTGTTGCCAACTAAGCCATAACCCATAGGTAACAGTATATGAATATTTTATTAATCAATTTCAAAACAAATTTCAACATTTAAATAAGTACTCTCTTAGTGTTGGATGGTTGCTTAATTAGATAATTCTCAACCAAAACTATGCTTATGAAACCAACATAAAAAGTTCTTTGGCATTAAATATATATTGTATCTTTATCTACTTTGAATATGATTGACAATTTAGTTAAGTGTACTATGTACAATAATATTAACAACATTATGCTTTTTCTACTTTGTTAATTTTTTTATAAACAATGTTATATTAGTAATTAAAAGGTTAAAAGTTGAAATGTTATATTAACAAAATTTATCAATTAAGTGTCTTGTATTTTATATATGAATTAATGATTTTAATTTTTTATTAGGTGGCAATATGTTGAAATCAACAACTATCAATTCATTTTTTAAGAGGCAAGAAAAGAATCTCAACAATTCGATACTTAGTGAGCTGATTTCCATACCAAATGATGACACTTGTTTAGAATAACCACCATCTAAGGCTCCAAAAATTGATTTTTCAGAATGTGCAGAAATTGATATTGTTTCGTTAGTTCGTGATCCTGGTTTGCGCCCCCAAATTTCGGTAATTCGAAGAGCATATATTCAATTTGGACCATATCGATCTGTTCCATCTGATTTTTTACATCCATTTTCTGGTGATCCAAGTCATCCTCGTAGGTTTTGAGCTCGTTGGCTAAAAAACTTTTCATGGCTAGAGTATTTTTGTTCTCCATGTTAACTTTACTTCTGTAGGATTCAGAAACTAGAGAAAAGTTAATAATGGAAAAGATTATGCATTTTTATCTCATTCAGGGAAATATCAAAATTCAGTATGTAATATGACTGTTGGATGTTATGAGGATTTAAGGAACCAGTCATGCCATATTGAAAAGCCGATCTAATAGCAAAGCTCACAACAAGTTCAGAATAATCATTTGCACATAAAAGCTTCAATAGATGTTGTTCGATGGTTATCCTTTCAAGCTTGTGCATTTTGAGGGCATAATAAACAACTTGATTTTAAAAATCAAGGTACTTTTCTTAAAATGTGAAACTTTTAGCAACATACAATAGGAAGGTTAATGATGTTGTATTACAAAATCCTCCACAGATTGCATAATATACATCACCAACAATTCAAAAGGAAATTTTACGTATTTATGCTAGAAATGCGCAACTTGCTATTAGAGATGAGATTGATTGTGCTAAATTTTGCTTGATTGTTGATGAAGCTCAGGATGAATTTAAAAAGGAGTAAATGACTCTTGTTGTGAGATTTGTTGATAGAAATGGATATATAAGATAGTGATTTTTAGATCTAGTGCATGTTAAAGATATATTTGCACTAACTCTTAAGGAAGAAATTTGTTATGTTCTATCTCATTATAATCTTAGTGTTCAAAATTTATAAGGTCAAGGGTATGATGGAGCCAATAATAAGCGTGGAGAGTGGAATGGTTTGCAAGCTCTATTTCTCAAAGATTCTCCTTATGCATATTATGTGCATTGTTTAACTCATCAATTGCAATTAGCTTTTGTTGCTGTAGCTAGAGAAGTGATACATATTCATGTTTTTTTTTTCAAAATTTGGCTTTTATTGTCAATATTGTTAGTGCTTCTTCTAAACGCAATGATAAATTGCAAGCTAAACAAGTGGCTGAAATCACAAATTTAATTGCAAATGATAATCTTGATACTGGAAGAAAAGCTAATCAGATTGGATCTTTGCAACGATCTGGAGATAATAGATAGGGTTCTCATTGTAATTTTATTTGCAGTCTAATAAAAATGTTTGTTGCAACTTGCTCAATTCTTCAAAGCATAGCTATTAATGGATCTACATGCTCTCAACATGGTGATGCTACTTTTGCTATTAATTTATTAATGTCTTTTGCTTTTGTACTTTTTTTACATGTGATGAAAGAGATTATGGGTATCATTGATAGACTTTCAAGCTTTACAACAAAAATCTCAAGACATTTTAAATGTCATGCATTTAGTCTCTAGTACAAAATTATTGATCCAAAAATTAAGAGATGCAAGTTGGGAAGCTCTATTAGAGAATGTGATATCATTTTTAAGCAACAAGATATTGATATTCCTGATATGAGCATATGCTTCTCTGGCATAATTCACTCTCGTCATCGCAAAAATATAGTACAGTAGAGCATGCGATGATGAGAGTTAACGTGCCTAATCATTCGGAGTTAAAATATAGAGCAAAAATATAGTACATTAGAAACTTTAGAAAAAATTGATCTAAATTTTCAATTGCAGCATTATGAGCTTAACGTGCCTAATCATTCGGAGTTAAAAAATTTATCTATTATTAATGATTATGTAGAGGATTTGTGGAAATAGGAAAATCAAAATCATACCCATTAGTTAATAAATTAATTCGACCTATTTTAACTCTTCCAATTTCAACAACAACTACTGAGCGAGCTTTTTCAGCTATAAAAATTGTGAAAATAAGACTCCATAGTCGGATGGAAGATGATTTTTTTATAGATTCTTTAATTATGTACATTAAAAGAGAAATTGCTAAAAAATTTACAGTTGACAAGATCATAGATGATTTTTATTCAATGAAAGAGAGCAGGCAACTTAAATAATCAAGTAAGTTGCTTTATTTTTATATTTATGTCATCTTTTCTCTTATATAGTTTATAAACTCTTGTTATAATTTTTATATGATATTTAGAGTTTATGCTTTTTATGAAATAAATATTTTTGGCCCCTTAAACAAATTTTCTAGCTTCGCCCTATACATCACAACATCTTAGGATCTAGTGAGACTATGGCAGTTGTGCTAGCTCAGACACCCAATTTCAAAAAGAGTAATTCCAGAGATCAGAAAATGCCTTACAAAAGAAAGAATTTGTTAGAAAGGAAGATAGATATTGCAACTACTGTAAGAATGGTGGTCACACTAGAGAGAGTTGCTTCAAATTACATGGTTATCCGGATTGGTTTGAGGATTTGAAATAAAAGAACGGTAAGACTCAAGCTAATGCAATAATTCAAGAATTGGATTCCCCTCTTGACACAAAAGCAATGGCTCATTGTGAGAAATATGAGGGATTGACTAAAAGCTTATCAAATATAATTCAACAAAAGTTCTGAAACTCATTAAATGAAAGGCTAAAATCAGTGAGGCTACTTTCCTAATATGGCAAGTTTTACAGGTAAGTTGTCCACTATATGTCTGAATAGTATGGATATAATATCAATACCAATATATAGTTATTATGGTTTAAATAATGGTTGAATACATAAGTTCACCTCCGAATTTCGTAACTTAATTTTTGTGGCACCCTGAACTTTGCAGATGACCTATCATGCACTTGAACTTATAAATTTTGATAATATTACACAATTTTCAACACTAATATCAATATATTGATTGATATATAGTTAGCATGACTTTTGAAATAATAATTTTTATAAATTTTAACTTTTTAGTGAGTGTTTAATTGATATAATTATGCAAGTTAAAGTATTCAATCAAATAAAATTTAAAATTTGAAGGGTTTAATAAGTGTAATTTTATAAGTTGAGGTGTTTAATTGGTCAATCGAGGGTGCCACAAGGTTAACGTAACAAAGTTCAAAAGAGAATTTATGTATTCGGCCTTTAAATAATAACTTTGTTAACTTATTTTTCTTATTTTTAGGTATAGTTTGGCTATTACCTACTGCTAATGATTTGTTTTTGTTTTTATCTTCTTAAAAATGGAATTACCTTATTGAAGCTTCCAAACTAGCATGATAATTTGTTGATGGAAAAACTCACAAACATGTAATGCAATATTTTTCTCACCCTTTTTTAAATGGTGTATAGTTAGTCTTAAGCGACTACTACTATTAGAAAAACATAAAGTGCTTCTATGAAATCAAGTATCTTAGAAACTTTAAGGTGTGGCTTAATATTATAAAGTTAACTCAATTTGCCTGCTACTCAAATTATTTTTAAACTTTAACACACATGGCATTTGAACTTTAACTCAATTTGTCAACTACTCAAATTATTTTTAACTTTAACACATATTATGCTTCATTAGAAGTTCAGACCAGAAAGAATTGCAGTGAGTAAACTACCATGACAGTCCAATAAGTAACACAAGAAAGAATAGCATTGGTAACTTCGTCAGAATGAGCAGATGGAGAAGGTTCCAACACCATTCTTACTACTGACATTAATGACTCCTAGAGACATAGATCATGAGAAGTTCAAACAATAAATCTCGTAAGCATAAAGAACTTTTCATTACTAACCTTTCAATAAATGTGAACAAAAAAGCACTATTTTCACTTCAAACCAGGGAAGTGATGTATATATTTTACACATGAGGAAACCCTTTCCTTTAACTTGATATGGATTATTATCTTCATGCATAAGTAAATTAAGCAATAAAAATTCATAATTTAGATTGTGCTAATTATAGAGAAAAATTTATTCCTGCCTCTGGACCCTTCAACTGCATAGCAATATAATAGCTAGCATCATGCATAAGTGTTCCATGCATGTACCACCTCAGTAAAGCCCTATAACCTCTTCCTCTGCATGCACAGAACTCGGTATTATTATTGTCAACAACAAAGAGAAGATTCATAAATTTATTAAGAAGCATTGGAATATCAACAATACCTGCCCTACAAACCTAAAGGAAGGTGAAAACCCCACAGCTTTGTCATAGCGAAACTTTTCGCATGCCAAACATGAGTCTTCATTCCCTTAGTCCCATCCCCTGAAGTAGAGAAAACACTTTCAGGGTTCTTTCTAAGTTCAACCCTTCGATGAAGACAGCGAGGAGGAACTCTTTCCTTGACTTTCTCGAAATCCACTAATTTTTTCCTTTTTCTACGTTTCTTCTTAACTAGATTGTCATAGGCAGTGGTTCTTCTTCTCATGTTTCTTCGAGATCGGAAATCATCGTTCAATCGGTCTGAGATGATAGAGTGAAAAGTCTCGAGCGCAGAATAATGGGATTCTGTGAATTTCTGCACATTGACTTTTCGAGGCGGAATTATTGAAGCATCACTTCTTTTTCTTCTATCACCGACCATTGTAACTCTTATTAAAGTTCAACTTTTACTTGCCTTCGGGGTGATGATAGTTCGCCAATGGCTTAGAGTTGGTCATCGTACCTATGCGAGCGTGCCAGTGAAAAATACAATTGACAACTTTCTTCTAAACACAGCGTTCTAAATTATGTCTCCTTATAGTTGTCACAAGCAATTAGGATCACGCTTCGCTGTGGCATATTAAATTCAATTGTAAAAAGAAATCAATTACTTGTAAAAAGAAAATCTTAAACTCAAAAACTCATTTAGCACGATATGTAATATTATGTAGAAAAACTTCAAAAAACTCGATGCAACTTTCAATTTTCTTTAGGGAGCATATAATTAAAGAAAACCAAAAACAGTAACTTCCTTTTCCCCTCTTTTGTTTTTAAGAGAAGAATAAATATAAAATAAATAGACACACCATATTTACTTGAATGATAACTAAACATTTTTTATGAATAATCAAATGCTAGATAGTAGAAGTTTTAGATGGAGCTTGCTCCATTATTGGAGTAGTTCTAGCAGTTGAAATCCTTAGTTAATTAGTTTGGTATATGGAGTAGTCTTATATACTAGGAGCTAAATTGCATTGACATAGGACACGAGATATGGGAACATACACGATACGATAATTTTTAAAAAAGTAAGACATCCACACGCTTAGGACACACTACACTAAATAAGTATAATGCATTAATATTTTAAATAAATAAACAATTATAGTTTTGGTTATATGAGTGTCTTATATACTAGGAGCTAAATTGCATTGACATAGGACACGAGATATGGGAACATACCGATACGATAATTTTTAAAAAAGTTAAGACATCCGACCACGCTTAGGACACACTACACTAATAAGTAATGCATTAATACACACGCTTAGGACACACTACACTAAATAAGTATAATGCATTAATATTTTAAATAAATAAACAATTATTTATAATAAATCAGAAACATAAAATAAAAAATACTTAATTTCTTATTTCAATACAATTAGTTAAATTCGCAAAATTATTAACACTATTGAAAAATATATTAGTAGTGTATGCATTTTTTTATGCAGTTCATACTAGAGGTGTCAAAATGGATCATGACACGCGAACACGATTTGCCTAACACGTGAAATAAATGAGTTAGGGTTGAAGTTAAACAGGTTCATGTCATAAACAAGTCACCTATTTATGACACGAATATAAACATGTCATGTCACGGGTTGACACGGGGGTTAGGCAAATGACCCATTTATTTAAGAGTTAAAAGGTAATTTTAGTGTTAGATATAAATACTTCAACTAAAACCTATTGAAATTTTAGATTTATTTTCATCCACGATCGCTCAACTCTAGGTACCATCACAATGGAGCATCTAAACTTCAATTTGTCTCTTAAAAGTTCTCTAACTACTATTTGGATAACAAAAAAGTATTATTAGCCTGTTTTTAGGTAAATAGCCGAGTACATGCTGACGTGGATATTATTTATTTACCACATCAGATTAATGAGTCAGATTCTCTCTCTAGGTTTTTGTTTTTCTCTCTCCTTCCCCTCTTTTTGTCAATCATGATCTCTCTCCTGCCCAATTATACCATTTATGTTTCTCTCATGCCTGTGTAGGAATGGTATCGTGTAAATAAGAAAAGAAGAATTCAAAGAGACAAATTGCTAATTCCCCCCATACCTTGCCATTTCTTTTCTCTTCTCCATTTAAGAATCTTCCGTTACCATTAATGACTTTTAAGTAAACTGAGGGTGCAAAAGGAAAGGAATTGAAGTTTCTGTGGTCTGAGTTTGTAGGGCTATGTGCAGGAGAATAGGGCTGAAACCAGATGGTAAGATTCTCTTCAATGCTTTTTTCCTTTTTTTTATAAATTAGTGGTCCATATACCTTAATTTATACTATGGTATGTTGTCTCTTGTGATGGAAAGTAATATTTAATTCTTTTTGGCATTATTTTAATAATACCTTTGTAAGGTTAGGGTTTTTGGGAGAAGTGGAGAGAAGTGGGGAAAAGTGGGGCTTGATATGCATTGGTATTACATTGTGGGGTTACGGTTTTTTTTTATTATTTTGGAAAAGTTTATGACTAAAACTGACATGTGATAAATGTTAGGGTTAGGTTGTTTCGGGAGATTTGTGGGAAAGTAGGCCTTTAATGAATTGGTAGTACAATTTAAGGTAAAATATTACTAATTGTTTGGGGATAACTGGTGATTGAAATTTAATACTACTAGATGTTAAGGTTAGGATTGTTGCTTTGCATTTAAATTTTTTAATTGATCATTGTCTTGTGAATGAAGTAACATGATTTGAATTCCATTTATTTATTTACCAAGTATAGGAGAGGGTGAAGAAAATATCGGAGATATAAAAGTAGAAGGCATAATAGGAGAGAGTGAAGGTAATATGGGAGGTGTAAATGAGGGTGATGCTAGAGTTGACCTTAGGGGAAATGTAGATACAAATAAAGATGGGGATTGGGAGTTAAGGAATGAAAAATACAACGTTGAGGATGGAGATGAAGATTTTAATATGGTAGTGAATGAGAGAGATTCACAGACTGACAGAATGGTAGGCCAAAGGGTAGTGGGGTAGGCATTAATGTAGGAAACCTACAAAACTCATTGAGGGTTGAAGTAAATGTCAAGGACTCAGATTATGCTCCTTCTGATGTGCTACATACTAAGTCAAATTTTGATGATGAGGATAGAGTTAAGTTTCCAGCATTTAATGCAACTAAGGACATGAATAATCCTACTTTTAATGTTGGAATGATTTTCAAGAATAAGGAAGAATTTAAGCAAGCATGTAGGAACTTTGGAATAAAAAATAGATTTCAAGTTTTTTTCTATAAAAACTGTAGGGAGAAAGTGCAAGCTAGGCGTTGCAAAAAGAATTGTGGGTGAAAAATCTTTGCTAGTTTACTGGATCCTAAGACTAAAACTATCACATCCACATTTTCATAACATGTCATAAGCATGCATTAAATTATTCTTAGAGTCTAATTATGCATTAAGTATGTTTAATTATGATTCTGGATGGTTTATAATGATTTGGATAAATTATAGTGCCATAAGAGCATTTTGATAATTTACAGTGTCATGAGACTGTGTTTTGAAAACAAAGTGTAATATTAGTATGTCAATTAATTATTATGCAATGGATGTGTTTATATATGGTTCTAGCCTTAAATTTAAAAAAGAAAAAAAAAACAATTTGCAAACATTCCATAAAAAAAAAAAACAAAACATTCTAAAATAAAGACAAAATAATCTAAATAGAGAGTACTTTCCGTGCCACTACAAGACAAATTCAACTCATCTTATTTCTCATTTTTCCTACAATGCCACATAAGCATCTTATCTAAATAAAATCTTCACATCACCTATTCTATCTTATTGCAATCTCGTTGGCCAATAGAAAAGGAAAGTTCATGTTGCACCATAAAGCATGTGATTGCACCACATGCTCTAAGCATGTGAAGTTAGAGATTCTATCTCTCAAATCCACTCCCCTCTACATGCAAACTGTTTCTTCTTTCTTTCTTTTCATTTTTATCTTTTCTCTTTCTTCTTTTATCTTTGTTTCTTCTTTTATCTTTCTTTCTTTTTTCTCTCATACAATACTAACCCTTATCCAAATACTCTAATGCCTAAATCCCTCTCTAAACTCAACTACTCCTCACCATATTCGAATATGCTATTCCTCTCCTCATGGCCTATAAGCTAATATAATTTATTTTAAGAAAATCTAAGCTTTTAAGGTAAATTTTACTCTTTTATGTTACTACTTCTTTTCTCTCTATTTCTTCTCTTTTTATTTTTAAACTAAGGCTAGATCCATATATTTTATGTCATATATATTATGTTAATACATTAAAAAAATTATGTTCATGCTTAGATGTTTAAAAAATGTTCCTTTTTCTTTGATTTAGGAGGTGCATCGTCTAAATCAAAAGGAAAAGAGGTGGCGGAGAGTTAGTAAATTTCAAGTTTAATGCTTTATTCTCATTTTAGATATATTTAGGATATTTATACATGATTTCTTGAGGTTTATACATGATTTCTTGAGATTTGTATGTGCAAATGTGTTTTTCTTCCATAAAATGTCATGATCTTTGTATAAGCTTTCACTTTTATGCCTTAAATGCTTTATTTGATGCTTTTTTTCAATATTTTAAACTAGTACAGAGTATATAATTGTTGTCCCTCTAAAATAAACGCTTAAAAGTTTTATTTTCATGTTATATTTCTTGAATATAAGCACTGAGAATGCTATGTATGCAATTTGTGTGATTTAGACCATTTTTCATGCTTGTAAGAACCTTTGTGACTATATTTTTATGATTTTATGTTTAGTTATATTTTTATGATTTTATGTTTAGTTTATTAAATTAAATATTTAATCTTGATTATATGATGTTTAATTATGATTAATGAAAAGTTGATTTGATTTAATGTATGTCTGGTGCACTAAATATGGTGGGCCAAACTATGAAAGGATTAATGTGCAACTTTGACATTTGATGAGGACTATTTGGAACATATTCCAAGGACTAAAAGGCAAATGCCCTAAGCTTGTGGGGTATTTGGACAAAAGGAAGACTCTAAGGACTTAAATCAATGACTAAAATGTGAACTTGCACTAATTATGGACTAAAGAGCTATTTGGACTAATTAAGGACTATAATTATAAATTGGACCCTTAAAAAGGATTAATTGTGGACTATGGATAATTTAATCTACCATTAGTCTATTTATTCCAAGTGGGATCCATTTATAATTTAATTAGGACCTTAAGGATAAATTTTATTTTTGTTTAATTAAGATAGATGATTATTAGGATTTAGTGATAATTAGTAGTAGGTTAATAAATTAAATTGTGTTAGTAGTTAATTAAATATAATGTGGATAGATAGTTAATTGGTGATTCTAGTTTATTTAGGCGTACTGTTGGTAAATATAGGAAATAATAGTAAATAATAGCGATTTATG